TGGGGGGTTCTTCCCACTGCTTGAGGGGACCTCGAGCGCCGAAGGCGCGAGGTTCCGTAGGGGGGTCCGGGGCATGCTCCCCCGGAAAATTTTGAAAAATGAACCTTCTAAAATGGCATTTCGTGCATTTTCAAGAGGATTTCCAAGAAAAAATCAGAGATAGATTTTTATTCATTGACAAAGGGAGCAGTTTTTCTACATAAAATGTGGACCAAAAAGTGGACCTTTACATAAAATGTGGACCAAAAAGTGGACCTTAACATAAAAAGTGGACCAAAAAGTGGACCTTTGAGCCTTGTGGGGGGGTTCTTCCGAACCCCCGGAACCCCCCCTGGCTACGGGCATGCTTCAACCTGAAACTTTAAGTGCAGCTCCGTATCACTTTCCTGGGCAATGTCCATGTTTCAAGTCACACATGCTGACATTATTTACCTCTCCAGGGTACAAACATGTACCATTTTTCTCACCTGATGCCAGATCGAAACGTTTGTGTGAAGGAACGCTGTTAGCTTCCCGGCACTTCACCCGGTGGCGCCAAATGGCCGACACAGACATGGGGCCATTTGGGAACCGGTCTGACCTTCAAAGGCAACATTTAAGTGCTCCCCTCGCTGGTGGTGCCGCTACACTGTAGCCCAGCGGAAGACCGATGCATTGATCATGAGGTCAAGGCAAAAGTCAGGGTTGGTACTTTAAGTTTGTGGCGTGCTCACGGAATGGCTTCTAAGGAAGCCAAACTTCAGCCTACCCATGGATTTCTAAACACATTATCGACATATGGAACAACCACCTGCACTAAAGCTCAATGCGCCCAAAACAGTTACTCAAGCAACTGGATATGATCCATCTATATCCAGTTGAGTAACTGTTTCTGGCGTATCTTATTACCTGGATGTCTAACCGTCATCGACGTAAAGCTCCATGCTTTATTTAGTCTTTTCCTCAGGCCAATGGCCGGTCTCAAACAGGATATCATAGTCATTGTGAAGGAAAATGGACTGCGCCATCTCCTATAATCGACGGAAAATGTCAGCACTTTTCTTTTGGGCCCCAATCATACTTCCAGCTTTTGTGCTCAACCCACAATTGTACAATCAACGCGTACAGATGGGATGTCATTGTAAAGGGTAATAGGCTGCTCTGTGTAAAGGATAATAGACTGCGGTAGGATCGAGGGAGAATTTCGGAACTTTTTTTTGAACCACTCAAATAACTAGCGCCGGTGCTCAACCCAAAATTGTACAATCATCAGGTACAGATGGGATAGTATTGTAAAGGATAATAGAGTGTATGTTCCCTGATCGACTAAGAGTTTCGACACTTTTATTTTGGGACCCACTCAAATTACAAGCGCTAGTGCTCAACCCAAAAAGGTACAATCAGATACAGATGGGATGTTATTGTAAAGGATAATAGAGTGCTCTGTGTAATGTATAATAGACTGTATGTGCTATGATCGAGGAGTTTCGACACTTTTATTTCGGGACCCACCCAAATAACAAGCGCTGGTGCTCAACTCACATATGTACAGTAATCAGGTACATGTTGCTGTACAGATGGGATATTATTGTAAAGGGATTGCTCTATGAAAAGAATAATAGACGCTATGATCGATGGGCACTTTTCTTTTGGGACTCACTTAGTTATATAACTAGCAGCGGTGCTCAACCCACAGATGTATAATCATCAGGTACAGATGGGATATTATTGTAAAAAGTAATAGACTGCTCTATGATCGAGGGAAAATCTCATCACACTTTTGAGACCCTTTTATCTTCTTGGATGTCCATCGCCGAACGACGAGGGACCCACTTAATATATAACTAGCGCCTGTGCTCAAGGTGGTTTAAAACCTCCATGCTGTGCTCAAGCCACTTATGTACAATCATCACAGATGGGATACCCTTGAAAAGGACCATAATAGACTGCCCTATAAATGTAAAGAATAATACACTGCGCTATATGATACATGCAAAAAAATTCGATTCTTTTTTTTCTGTGCAATAGCTCAATTGGTAGAGTGCTCGCTTTGTAACCGGGAGGTCGTGAGTTCAAACCCCGGCCGGGTCATACCAAAGACTTTAAAAATGGTACACACTTTTTTCTCTGCTTAGCACTCAGCACATATGAGAAAGAGTGTGGGAAGGTCAAACACACATCACTACCAGCGGACCAGCCCCCTGCTGTAGTGCAGTGCACAATTGTGTGTCGCCCAAGGGCTACGAAATGGAGATGGGCACCACCCTACTCTCGGGCAAGAGCACGGGAGACCTTCTTCTTCTTCTTTTTTTCTGTGATCTACTTACGTGTCCTGAGCTGTTGCTAAGCCCACAAACGTACCATCATCCCAAATTGGATATCGTTACTGTTGTAAAGGATCAAAAGCATGCTTTACAGCTCTGCACAAACTCTGGACAACGCTTGAGAGTAAAGCTTTGTGCCATCGACTAGCTATGTAGCTTTGGTTCAACGGTTAGTCTTCACGCAAATAGTGAATAGATCCGATAAAATTAAGTTAGCTGTAAATCTAATAAATCTGATATAAAGATCTGCGCTCTACGAATCGTGATCGACGTACTCTGCTCAGACGAACAGCGAAGGCAGTCGCAGCTGCGCAGAGCAGATAAAGTTGATTTATCTCTCACTCATACGCGAGATGAACACAAATTAAGATGTCCAACCGCGGACCAGGACTCACTTATACCAATAGGCGGAAATTTGGCAAGACAAAATCGTTACAATACATTTATACAGTTTCTTGAAAATAGCTATAATAGGGCAAACGCAAAGGGGATATAGCCGCCATGTCCATCTCAAAGGAAGCCGTGTTTTACAGAATAAAGTTTCATATCAATATAATGTAGTTCAAACACTTCCCCCTCTTTTCTCAATGTAAAAGCCAATATCAAGTGGCAGCCGATGTCTGTGGTTGCTGCACCACAGAGAGTAATCAGTTGGATTTATGACTTTGTTACCTCTGTACGGAGGTATTGTTTAGGGCGGGTTCGTCTCTGTGTATGCTTGTCCAGGATAGACGGCTGCAGGAAGAGTGGGTGGAGATTTGGTAACTTGATTGACAGGGTTGTTAATCCGCGTGGGAGTAAGTGGGCGGTACGTGGAGGAAATCAGGAGGTGGGTGACTGTGCGTAATAACCGATCAAATCACGTCACACAACCCTCTCCACGGTTCCAAGTTCCAATGACAACCCCAAACTTCCCCAAAGTCTGAAATCTCGAGCCGATGTTCTTGTTGTGAAGGAGAAACATTACAAGCTGTGACAAAGAGTGTTCCCGGGATGTCAGCTACACAACCTCACAAAGTAATTCATCTTCAGAATTTATTACCTTTGCATTCATCAACATTGCAATCAAAGAACTGACGCGCAGTGGTCAATTGGAACACATAAAAGGCATAC